AAGTTTCCTTTGTGTATGGATATTTCTGCTCTCTAGCAAGGAAGGATCGAATGGTACCGCAAGCAACACGGTTGATAATTTTCCAATCTTCTTCTCCAATAACATCTGGTCTCTTTTCTTCAATGGCAAGATCTAGCCCTTGCTGAAAAAGGACATCTAGAACCTCGTCTTGCCACATCCCAAAATGCCCGGACCCGTCAAAAATTTCTACCGCAAATTTCGCATTTGACACAATTCTTGTCATAAGCAAAGATGCCAATGATGACGTATTGTTGACACTTGATAAATTCTTCTTGTTTATTGTCTCCCATATTTTACACAAATATTATTTAATAGATGACGACACAAATCAAGATTATTTCCTTTCTGATGTAGAAGATCAGACTAAGCTGCAACCACAGAGCATACTCAGACAGAACCTTGACTCAGTTACCAAGATAAATCTTTTCTGATGTGGAAGATCAGACTATGCTGCAACCACAGAGCATACTTAGACAGTACCTTGGCTCTGATACCAATTGTTGCGGAAGCCAAATGTATATAGTGTGAATAAGTCACAACTACTATACCAAAAATTATGACAACCACCAAATAATAAATAAGACAATAAAGCAACAATAAAGGGAACACCAGAATTTACGAGGTTCGGCTAATTTTGCCTACTCCTCGGACACAACCAATATTTTATTCCACTCCAAAAATACAAGTGAAATAATACTAAAGAGAAAAGATACAAATGCCTTAAACAAATAAGAAGACAAATGAGAGGTGTGTTTAAATCCTAAACATTAGGCCTTCTTTTATAGGGGGAAAATCCCCCAAACTCAAGACCCCACCGATGTGGGACAAAGGAATTTGCCAAACTTCAACATAAGTAGCCTCCAAAAAGTTGTTAATTGTGTTGAGCAGGCGTGGGGAGAATTATCTTGTAGGACAAATACACATTCTAATTAAAGAAAATAGGATATTTTAGAAGTTAAATCAGTATTAAACTTCATGTGTATATATATATATATATATATATTCATTTATCTCGGGCTCCATCATATTATTCCATTTTTCTTAAGCCAATCTAGAGGCATTTCAAAAATTCAGCAAACAATATCACTATATAGATAAAGAATTCGTTAGATTATAATTTGCTCCAAAGTCCAGTTCATATTCTTATATAGAATCAATTCGAAGCATGGAAACAGTCATCAAGTGCAGCACTTGATAATCTTCTTGCCAAAAGAACTTTCCATGAATAGCCAGAAAATTCAGGTGACGCACCGTACTGTTGGTGATAAGATGCTACCATTTCGGTTAAAGAATAAATTTGATTTTTATACCTTTTCTTTAAAGCAGTTAACGGATACGAGAAGTCTTGGGTGGTTTTGTTCCATATTCCTTTTTGGAGATAGTTAATAAGGAGAGGAAAAAGGTTAATAAACAATCCACAAGAAATAGTTGGGACGGATAGCCATTTTCAGAGATGCTATTTAGAGATTAGCCATTATTTATTTTGTCTCGAAATTTTAGACTAAAAATTTTAACTTTATGATAACTCAAAAAAATTTTGTCCGGAAATATTGAACTGAAAAACTGAAATTCAGGATGCACTGACTAATTCCTAAATAGCAGCCCTCCAAAGTGGCTACTTGGTATCATTTCTACGAAGTAATTAAGATTCAAATTACTCCCTCCGTCTCAATTTATGTTACATTTTGCTTCTCGTGAATCAAACTTCGTGAATTTTAACAAATATTCTTAAATGCATTTTTTTGGTCATATTGACATGATTTTTTTTAAATTTATAGTACTTTTCGTATAGTTTTCGACTATCTTAATATTAATTTTAAAATATTGAGTTAATTTTATCTAATATAGCTTAGAAGATTAGTAAAATAATTTTTGAAAAGTGAAAAATATTACATTGAGATAATAATAATTTGCAGATACAATTTTGACATGTTGGTCACCTTGAGAATGACTTTGCTGGATAATTTGCCAGATGTTTAGATATTACATTGAATTAAGCCGAAGGACAATTTTGTTTGGTTGTTTACTTTTGAATCGATAAGAAAATGTTCTACTCAAATCCAAAACGCCTAAAGTTTCAACTTTTTCACTACTAAAAAATCAAGTTTTAGCAACTGAGAAAATCTGTAGCTAAACAGAAAAATCCGTCGCTAATCTCATTTAGTGACTGATTAGCGACGAATTATCAAAAAATTCTACTAGTTACGAGCATTTTAGCGACAGATTAGCTACGACGTTCGTAGCTAATACCAATTCTTTTTTGTAGTGATTTAAGCACTCTATAATTTAGCCTTTTGTCAGAAACTAAATTATATCGCAGTGTGATTGATGTGACTAGCGATAGAGTGATGAAAAATATAGTACGGAAGTTTAGGTCTAGAATGAATGTACCATATCTTGTAGACGTAAGCGAATTATAAGCCTAGGCTCTTAATGCAAATAAACCTGGCTCTTAAAGTCTTAATGGAAAAAGTAAACCTTAATCATTGAGGTGGTTAGCATACATATTGGGTAATAAGTGAGATTTTAATTCTAATTATAGTGGATTATTTGCGAAGGGAGATTAAGAATGCCATTGCACAATTTGTATCATATGTTCAGTTTATCATGTCATATTAAGATACGATTAACATATAGTGCGTGAATATAAAATAATCCAGGAAAATCAATTAAGAATATATTACAAAAAGATTAACTAGTTGACATGAGACTACACGCAATCATGTTCATATGTTAGTTGTCAAACACCTAAAATATAATTTATTTGGAATCTTATTTGCGAGATTAGCATATATAAATTTTTATTTAAATATCCATTTGCTTTCTGTTGCCAAAATGCTCCACGGTGTCTGTCAATATTTAAAACAGAAAAAAAAAAAGAAGAAATAACTTATAGACATATTACGACGACGAGCAAATAAAATTGTCTTTTTTCATTTTTAACCCGTGCCCGAAAGTGTTTACGTTTGGTAGCTGAAAAGGTATATAAAATTTATCTAATTTTTGTATATAACATATAGATCAGTGTATATATCTATATATAAATATATATATATTTTTTCGGTTATTATTTTGTAAGCGGCTATACAATATCATTTTCCCAATTATAAAATACCCGACCCAACGCTAACCCAACCTGGAATAACATCCACCGTCCACGTGTCAAGATCTAGTTCATATCCTTCCCCATTTCCCATTTTCATCACTCTCTCTCCTCTCCCGCCTTCACTCTTTTTATATTCCCTACAAAAACTCTCAACCATTCTCCCTTTCATCCAACATTCTCTTCATCCTCGCCATCTTCATTCTGTTTCCCCTTGCTTTTTCTTCTCATTTTCGTATTCTTGCAAAAAAAATCAAACGATAATCAGCCGAGAAACAAAGAAAAGGCCAATTAACAACCTCAAATGTTAGCTGAAACTTATCCCCATAATAATTTATTATCTCATAGTAGTAATTTTCGTAACAACATGGTTCACTCCGTGCCCAATATGTCATCAACTGCCGTTAACGACGACGATTTCGACGTCCGTCAAAGTAGTTTCTCGGCCTATGACCCCAATCGCCTTAGCGCCGAGGGATCTCCTACGATGTTGTCACCTTGGAACCAAAGTTCTCCTTTTAATAAATCCCCTTGGTACAAATTTGACGATGATGTTCCGAAAAACATACCACAAAATGGACTCATTGGCTCTCTTGTTCGTGAAGAAGGGCATATTTATTCTTTAGCTGCAAAAAATGATATTCTTTATACTGGTTCAGATAGCAAGAACATACGTGTTTGGAAAGATATGAAGGAATTTGCTGCTTTTAAATCAAATAGTGGTCTTGTTAAAGCAATTATTATCTCCGGCGAGAAGATTTTTACGGGTCATCAAGATGGAAAGGTACGAGTTTGGAAGGTGCAATCGAAGAATCCCAGTAATCATAAACGTGCAGGGAGTTTGCCTACATTTTTTGACATTTTCAAGGCTTCCATTAAGCCCAGCAATTATGTGGAGGTAATGTTGAAGTTTGACCATTTTCCCTATGTCTTAAAATGTTAGCAAAAAATATATTTTCAATTGTTTAATCATATTATGTTTCTAACACCCCCTCTCACGTGCGAGTTTGATTTTTTTTCATGAGCCAAATATGTGTTTTTTTTTTTTTTGGTTTTCGGGTATCAGTCAAATTTGCCCCCAAGGGTCGGCTAAGTTAGTTGGGTGACCGGTTTCCCATATGGGAGACCTGAGATTGATTTCCCTCACCATCAGCCTCCTCAGACAGAGCTCATCACACCAGACGTGCTTAGTGCGATTTACATCTCCTGTGTAATTTGCGAGCTATTATACAGTGAGCAGATTACTCAGTGCGTACCCGAAGGGTAGCGACTACGAGTTTCTCTGAAAATTTTCCTTTACTTGATTATATCATAAAATTTAAACTATTAGAGTTAACACATTTTTAATTAATTGATTATATTATGTCTCAACATAGGGCAAACACTTGAAAATATACTAGGGAGCATACTTCATTTTGCTTTTTGGCTGATGACGAAATTTGCATGCTCTGATGTCATGTTGAGATAGTGTGACTATATATTTTATCTAAAAATTTAAACTGTTTGAGATAACACTATTTTAGTTATATTATGTCTCAATAGGTAAAGCGTAATCGGACAGCCCTTTGGATCAAGCATTGCGACGCAATTTCATGTTTGAGCATGGACCATAGCCAAGGCCTTCTCTACTCAGCTTCATGGGATAGAACATTTAAAGTATGGAGAGTTGATAACTCCAAATGTTTAGAATCAGTTAAAGCCCATGACGACGCCGTTAATTCGGTAGTAGCCAGCGTAGACGGAATCGTTTATACCGGTTCAGCAGACGGAACCGTCAAAGTTTGGAAAAGGGAATCCGTAGGAAAAACCGTAAATCATGTTTTTGTACAAACACTATTGAACCAGGAAAGTGCAGTGACGGCTCTAGCGGTTAATAAATCCGGTTCAGTAGTTTATTGCGGTTCTTCGGACGGCGTTGTGAATTTTTGGGAACGTGAAAAACAGTTGTCTCACGGTGGAGTTCTCAAAGGGCATAAATTAGCGGTTCTTTGCTTAGCAATTGCTGGGAATTTGGTTTTCAGCGGTTCAGCAGATAAAAATATTTTTGTTTGGAAAAGGGACGGTTCGGTTCACACGTGTTTGTCTATATTGACCGGTCATAATGGACCGGTGAAATGTTTAGCGGTCGAGGAAGATAAGGAGTCGACCGGAAGTGAGGAAAAATGGGTGGTTTATAGTGGAAGTCTTGATAAATCGGTGAAAGTTTGGAGTGTTTCAGAAATGGCACCTAATTTGCATCATATGGCCATGAATAATGGTCAAGAAGATGTAAGCTGGGATTCAATCCCATCCGCTAAATATTCATCAGACGGTCCAAGTATATGACACGTGTAATGAAGCTGCATTATTAGTCCAAGGTGGTCTTATACACCATTAATCGCACAGAGAAGAAGAAACATTAACGAAGGGATTATGGTGTAAATAAGGCAATTCTGATTGTGTAAATTTCTGGTACAATGACTATGTAATTCAGGGTAGGAATGTGGATCAATAACTTCTTTCTTACAATTTCTTAGTTACTTATACCACTTTCCTGTAATAGCACTTAAATTTATTTACTTTACAAAGTTTTATTCATCTTGTGATGCATCTCTGTCTCATTTTAATTATTTTATATTTGAAATTCACTAATCCGACTAATAAAAGCCGATCTACTAAAGAGAAAAAAACAAACGTTTCTTCTCAAGAGGCTGAGTTTGAACTGAAAACCTCTAATTAAGATGAAACAATCCCAACCATCCCCTCCTTTTCTTCCGATGCATCTGTTCATCTACTACTTAATTCCATTACTTTAATTTATTTATTTTTTGCTAAAGAATTTCGTTTGTAACGAATTAGAATGTTTGTTTGGACAAAGAAGTAGGTGGATCTTGTCATTAGCAAAGATGAGTGTGGCACTACTCCCTCTTTTAATCATTTCATGGTTCTATACAAATATATAAAATCTGGCGAATCAGATATCATATTACGACAATTTTTTAAATCCAATATTTCATACTGCGAAGCATATTCCATGAAACAACCTGGCTTTGACATACCTTTTTAATGAAAAATAAAAAATGATGTATAACTGAATTTCTGCTCACGTTCTCTCATTACTATTGGGCACTAAAAGATTCTTCCGAAGAACAAATCCAGAAACTATCAACTAGACTATTTGTAAGCGATTAATATATTTCACATGCCAATATTTTGACCTACTTCAATGAATTGAATGATTAGAATCTCCATACATGTAACCGCACGTTGTCAAATCATGAAGTCCTTAATTTATATTAAGCATAATCCCAACTCTGAATGATGATTGTCGCGTAATAGAAACATAACCACCGTATCTAATAATGTATACTAAAGTTGAATATTGGGACCTCGACCACAGGGTATATAATGTAAGAGAAATGAATAGATAATATTGACCAAGAAGAAGAAGGAAATAAGAACAACTTATCGAAAAATATTGTATTGTGTTATGACAAGCTACGGTCTTGAAAGCGATTTCGCCCGACTGGGTGCAAATTGTTAAGACCGGTCACTCCCCAATGTTCCGCAGCACCTCCAAACACGTGCACTCGTGGCTGAAAGTTTGAAAGTTGCACAAAAAAATAGCCCAGAAAAAAGAGAAGATGAAGGTTTTCTATATTGGATAATTCACAAAGAAGACTGCCTTTTATAGGCAAAAACTGTTGGACAGTTACACGTGAAGAAATTAATCTGTAGTTGTTACAGAAATTAAAGATGGAAGTTATTATAAAAATTAAACACAACTGTTACATAAATTAAAGTATGACAGTTACAAAGAAATAAATGGAACTCTACAAAATTCAATTCAAAGAGAATGATTTAGGCATATTCTGGTAAGCTCAAAAGAGAAGAAATAATTTTAGCAAAACTAGATTTGGAATAGGCCCTCATGTATATCTTGTGCGCAGAAGAAGGAGAAAAATCTACATGTTTTGCCTTCAGGGCCAATTTCTCATTTGCGCGAGGCCACTCTCTTTTTCTAACTCTTTACAAGCCCAACAAAGAACAATTCAATATAAAGAGAAGAAAAAGACTTTCCACAACCAATGAGGGACACTTTGTCTTTCACAAAACACAAAGAACTAAAGAAGGAAACTACCAAAAAAACATTTTATATTTTTTTAAAATTACATACCGACCGAAATCGGTCAGTATATTGGTCAAATATTTGGCCGCAATGTCAGACTTTCTTAGTCAAAGCACTTTTTTGATTACCGACCAATATGGTCAAACTTTTGAATCACATTAAAATTTACTATCTAAATAATATAATATAATCCATTTTGAAATAATATATTGTAATAAAAATCATGAATGCACTAACATATACTATAACAAGCTATATATAGTTAAAGTAGTACAACGAAGTGTACATATCTCTCTCTCTTTATATATATACAGTCGCATCTAAGAAAGTGAAGCGCTAGGGCTACAGAGTCAGGTTCTTTTAGGGATAGACTTGTGAAGAAGCAATAATCTAATTAGTATATATAATTGATCATCATCAAATATATCTATTTGTAAATTGATTCATCGACGAATTATAACTTACTTAGATGCATCGATGAATATTAAAAATAAAACGTCTCGACCTATATCGAAGAATATTGAAAACAAAACGTCTCGACCTATATCGATTAATCTATGTCATGTATTATTCGTGATGAGTGAATGAAATATAGAAGAATACTAAACTTCTTTGGAATATGTATGTATGTATGTATGTATATATGTATCACAAATTAAATAAACGAAAGAAACTATTAGCATTAAGTAAATGAGTTAATATAACAATCGATTAAATATATTTAAATTAGAATAATATTGGTTTACCAATTCATCAATTGATCAAGTTTTCATTCGTAGTAATATATGTGATTGGTCATCAATTATAATATAATGTATGTGCATGTGTGTGTGTGTTTGTATGTGTGAAATGACTCATATACTTAATTATAACTTAAAAAATTAAATTAGATAGATGAATACAAAAGGTAAAACATCTCGACCGATATTTATTAATCTATGTGATTTGTAATTAGTTATAAGACGAATGAATATATAAGGCGAAATGTAGAATTCGAATAGAATAAACGTCTCATAAACATATCTTTATTTTTTTTTATTATGAGTGATTAATTATATATGTGTGTGAATAAAATATATGCTTTAATTTATTAAAAGTAATTAGTTAATATAATAATTATTTATAAAGATTATGCTTATAGTTTATAGTTATTTATTAGTAAATATATATGTGAATAAAATAAATACTTATATTTTATACTTATTTTTAAAGTTATAATATTTAAGAAATAATAACAAAAAATAATTAATTTAGTTTTTTTTTTAAAATACTTACCGAAGTCGGTCAATTAATTGTGGTCAAACAAAGTCAACGATCACTTAAGTGTACTGACCGACGTCGGTAATTTCATATCTGAAATATGCGGCCTTTTCCCCCTCATTTCTCTTATTCTCTAATTCTCAAAATTTTCTAACTCACACTCACTACTTCATCACACACACAACACCCTTCCCCACTCCTTCTTTATTTTCCTCGTATAAATCTCATTCCCCACCCCACGTCGTCACTGCCCCGCCGCCTCCGCTGCCGCTACTACTGCTGCCCCTCCTTCTCTACCTCCTAAAAATTCTAGGTTTGAATTACAACTTTCATCTTTTTTGTATAAATTAATATTTTGTTAATTAGTTATGAGTTAGTTAATTAGTGTTAAATTGATTGTTTATCTTCACATTTTATTGAAATCTAGGGTTTAGGTCTTGTTTTAATTGAATTGAATTGAACTGATTACATATGGTGTAAATTGAATGTTTAAGTTTGTATTGACTTGACTAGTTTCGTTAGGAATTGAATTATTAACTTTGAATTGAATTGAGTTTTTAAGATTTGTTCTTTTGAATTGAACTTTTAGGGTATGAATTAAATTTTTAGGGATAAGTGTTGAACTTTTTGGATAGAGCTTATGTTATGTGAGACTAATTGAATTGTTTAGGGTATTAATTAAATTATTTAGGGTATAGATTGAACTTTTAGGATATGAATTGAACTTTTTGGATATGAATTGAATTTTTAGGAGTAATGGTTAAACTTTGGATAAGATTTGAACTTTTAGGATGTGAATTAAATTTTTAGGGGTAATAACTGTACTTTTAAAATATGAATTGAACTTATAGTTTATTTTTAAATTGAAGGAAAAATGCATAAGTACCCCTTGAATTGAACTTAGGAATGAGGGTCTTGATCGAAGCTTAAAATTCTCTTTGTATTGTAATGATCTCCCGGTGAAAATTGAAAAACTAACGCAGGTCAAAGAAGAAAGTGAAAAAAAAAGTTTTAGTAATAAAAGATACTAAGTAAAAGTGCGTGCAAACCAACACCCCCATTCTCATCTGATTATTTGTGCCAAGTCAGCACTGAAGGTGGTAATAATTTCGGTTAAAAAAAGTTTAAGGGGTAATAAGATCCCAGCAAAGATTAAGTGTGTAGTTGAAAATCCAACTCAAGTTCAAGGGGTACTTATGTATTTTTCCTAAATTAAATAAATTATAATTAATTATATTTACTATAATTTAGTTTTGGTGTAATTAATAAAAATTAATTATCTTAATTAACTAAAAATAATTTAATTAATTTATAATTGTAGAATAAATTAAGTAGTTATAATACTTATGGAAATATCTCAATTTATTTTTATTTTATTTGTATAGATGGAACATCGTACTTGGATGTATAATAAGAATTATTCTAATCGACGGGGATTAAGGCAGGATTTTGTAGAAGGGGTTGATGACTTTGTTAGACATGCAATGTGACTTTTATCATACCAAATTCAAGGAGTAATTAGGTGCCTTTGTGTCAAGTGAGTTTGTGTGAAATTTAAAAAATCGGAGGAAGTTAAGCTTCATTTTTATAAGAAGGGATTTATAGAGAATTACTTTGTGTAGACTAATAATATAATGACCCGGCCGGTCGTTTTGAGGGAATAAGCCCCGATCCCCTATTTATTGCTTCCTCTATTTCATTTTGTGATTACTTGACTTGCAGGGGTGCTTGGTGTCGGGTTCGGGTGAGTTTCGAAGTGGAATGAGACACAGTCCCTAAGTTTGATGTTTAAATTGTAAGAGTTGATCGTAGGTTGACTTGTGTGAAGAAGACTTCGGAATGGAGTTTCGTCGATTCCAATAGATCCGTATAGTGATTTGGTCTTAGGAGCATATCCGGATGTTGATTTGGAGGCCCGTAGGTCATTTCGGCGTTAATTGGCGAAAGTTGGAAAGTTTGGAAGATTTTGAAAGGTTTGACCGAGAATGGACTTTTTGATGTTGGGGTCGGATTCCGATTCCGGAAGTTGGAGTAGGTCTGTAATGTCAATTATGACTTGTGTGCAAAATTTGAGGTCAATCGGATTTGATTTGGTAGGTTTCGGCATCAGATGTGGAAGTTAGAAGTTCAAAAGTTTATTAGGCTTGAATAGATGCGCAATTCTTTGTTTTACCATTGTTTGATGTGAATTGAAGGCTCGACTAAGTTCATA